CATGAAATAATTAAGAAAGTAGTAACGTTGAGAAAGGTGATGTCTTTTGAAAGCTTTGCTCCACAAATTACATACCGTTTAACTTGACTTGTTAATTTTTGAACGCAATCAGGCTATAATGTCAATGTATAAAAATCATATCAGTGACTTACATACATTAATTAACTGAGATATTTATATGAAAACCTTACTTGTTTTAGTGATTTAAATATTTACCTTCAAAGCGAACTTTCACATAATATGGTCGTAATCGGTTAAAGATTGTTTTAGTTTCCTCATTTCCGCCCGTTATCATCTAGGTGTCGGTTTAAATACTTTATGAACGATAATCCACCGTTGTTTTTGTTTTTTGGACTGGATGAGCCACTGGGTTGGCCTTCGGGGCCTTTACAGTTCCGACGGGCTTGAGGTGGCCTGGCGCACGGGGCGCCTAGCCTGAACCTCGGCGTATTATTATTACGCGTTATGGTGACTAAGCTCGAGGGCTCCCGGGGGAGCCTCGGCTCGGGCCGTCACGCTATTATTATCACCGCTTTGGGAGGCCGCCAAGCTCTTAGGGCGCTTTGGCGGGCGCTCCATGGAGTGATCAGGCTCAAGGGTCCCCGAGAGGGGACCTCGGCTCGATCGGTAGCTATTATCTGACTGGGACCACTGAGGATAAACTTAACAGTATACGTACAACAAACAAACATAACATGTCTTAAATATATTTTTTATCGTATAAAAAGGCTATTAAAAAGAGAGCAGGCCTGTGAAAACTACGAATAGCCCGCTGTGTGAAATCATAATTATACGCGTAGAGTTTAACTGTACCATGAGACAATAGGGTTCCCATGGACGGGACATGAGAGCGGACGGATGGGCCGACATCCGTCCGCCGTGCCAGCCCACCGATGGGAAATATTATAAGGGAGCTATTGTTTTTCACAATAACTATCTATTAGGGCTCTATCAAGGTTTCATAGTTTGTTTTACTATAAGAGCGGCACAGCAGCTTTTGTTCTCGAGTGATGACCTCACTGAAGACCAGCGTTAAGTGTCACTATTTATACAGTTGCGTTTCGTCTAGTGACTTAGCTAACCGGAAGTTGTTTTTCTTTTACCTATTTCTATAAGAGTGTAAGTATATTAGTCTTTTTTTTTCTGATTAAGTATTCGGGATACTTCTATGTAAATGCTACGAACTTGCTCGGCTGGAAAACGACCTCAAAACTCTCCAAAGCTGGTCGCATAACTACAACCACTGTTTAATATCATTATCAATTGAGATTTTGATTATCATTATCAATTGAGATCATATCAGGCAATAATTTTCAGATTGATTACGAAATTGTCTCACAGCTGCACTCAGATGCGGCAAAAATTACTTTATTATCAATCTGCAGGTAAAAAAATATTAATATGATGGAGCCTCGTTAAACGTTACGTTAAATAACACTAGTGGAATTTCCACTAGTGTTATTTAACGGTTTATTTGTACTCTACTTTTTTATGTGAAAAAAAAATTGGCATTGGTCAAATATCTCATCACTACATAGTATAAAAGAAAGTCGCCCCGCTGTCTGTCTGTCCCTATATATATGCTTAGGTCTTTAAAACTACGCGAACTTCATACGGTTTTTTTACTAGATAGATCGATTCAAGGGAAAGGTTTATATGTATAATGCATGGCACCCGTGCGAAGCCGGATTGGATCGCTAGTATAACTTAAAATAATTGATTAATTGATTTCTCACGACAGGGAATCGTGGTTAAGTGGCTATCTAGCCACATAATAATAACAGTAATACATTCAATTCGGATCATCTGATCCGACTCTGTATTACTGTTATTCCCAATTTCTTAAATCTTCCACTGCGTAAGATTTCCAACAAGAATTAGGACCGCACTGGTTTCCCCAAAGTATTAAAGTGATGAAACATGAATCAGAAAATTTTTAAATAAAAATCAGCCAATATTTTATCATGACCTCTTTTTACACTTTTCTTGGCTTAATAAAACTTTAGGTCAATGTTTAGGGTTACTAATATTTTATATATAGAAGCTACGAAATTTCGCAAGTGGTGACGATATTTACGTACGTGTTAAATGAAGCCGGCGGATGTGGAGATGCTCCAGTCAACATTAGAAATTCCCCTTGCACCGCTGACAAGTAAACAAGCCGTGCTCTTCCAACTCATTCACCACTGTCCGCCAACGACAATGAGACGGGACGAATTTCTCGAACGCGTAAGAGCCTGGCATTAGAGATCAGTTTTGCGTAGCAGACGGTGTCAACGAACGGTGTAGCGGACCTGGGCATTTGCATAGATTACACCGGGTGTCATCGAGATACATGAACTTTATTCGGCTGTGACGCAACTCGTTTACGTGGTGTGGTGTTTTATATCGCACGTGTTTACGTACATGACAACAAAATATTGTGCAAAACGTACTTTACAGCAGTGATAATGCGCAGTTTGTCCGATGGTTCTTCTGTATACCATAAACATGAATACGATTTGATTCAATTTAAAGACTTAGCCAACTAAAGACGAATTAATTAAAATTGAGGACCTTACTTAAGATTAACCGTTAACGCAAATGATACCACTAGCTACTTATCTTTCTTTAAAATTTACCAAAATTTCTTATATCGAGCTCGTTAAAAATATAACCCATTTTACTGAAATTTTATTTCGCTTTCATTAGTCTTAACTACAGTAAAAAGTGAAACTACTAGTTAACAGCCGGTAATTTGACAGATTTAAATTCATTTTGATGTTAATCAGTTACATCTAACACCATAAAAACCATAAAAACAAGCGTAATTTGATAAAATCAAAATCAAAAGTCCTTTATTCAACATAGGAGCATTACACTCACTAATTGATAGTCAAAACACTATTTTCAAATTGTCAAACTATTGTCAAAACGATATTTTATCTGAAACTAATTGTAGCTCCTTTCCCTTCAAAACTGATGTTGAAAATATACAAATTCAACAGTTACACGGAGCACAGCCAACGCTCTACATAAAGCATTTTAACAGCATAAAAACCATAAATAATATGAACCATTATGAATCTGGACTATCACGTAAAAACGAGCGTAAATTGATATCTTCTTTGAAACTAATCGTAGCTCCTTTCCCTTCAAAAATGATGTTGAAAATATACAAATTCAACAGTTACACAGAGCACAGCCAACGCTCTACATAAAGCATTTTAACAGCATAAAAACCATAAATAACATGAACCATTATGAATCTGGACTATCACGTAAAAACGAGCGTAAATTGATATCTTATTTGAAACTAATCGTAGCTCCTTTCCCTTCAAAAATGATGTTGAAAATATACAAATTCAACAGTTCACGGAGCATAGCCAACGCTCTACATAAAGCGTAAGCGTGCTCCAAAACAAATGGTACTTAAATATCTAACTGACTCGAAGCGAACTATTTGTCATGGTGACTGCTAAAACATCGACAATAGACGCACCAGTGACAATGTCTTGTTTTGTCAATGTTGTCAATGTTGTACCAGTGACATAGATACGTTTGAGAAGATCGTACTTACTAATGACGTTGTCGTGCATATTTTTGCAATAATATGAGACATAGTGAAAAGCTACTTGCATTTCTATGTTTCTAACATAGAAATTAGAGAGATAAATTCACGCTTCTTCCAAGAAGAAGTAATTAAATTAAAATTTTTGATAGTATCCAATCCAATCCAATCAGCCTTTTGCAGTCCACTGCTGAACATAGGCCTCCCCAAGGGCACGCCACATAGCACGACCTTCCGCCTTCCTCATGCAGCCACTACCAGCGACCTTTCTCAGGTCATCGGTCCACCTGGCAGGGGGACGTCGGACGTACGTAGTGATAGTATATTTTAATCGAAAATATATTTTCATAAATTTATAATGTAAGAAGCAATCAAGATACCTTTAAATTGGGCTTTAACAAAAATTTAAATATTAATTCTTGATATATATTATAACACATATCTATACTACATATCATCCAATATAAAAGTAATGACAGCTTATATTATAAGGATTATATGTTTTAAAATATATGTATGTATGTTATTTAAAAATACACAACATATATAATTTATATCGTTCAAAAGATGTGCATGAAACAAAAAATGTATCAATATTATGTCCAAGTTAAAAAAAAATCGTAAATGCACAAACACTTCCACTTTAAATAGTTATATATTTAGCGTAGAAAGAGTGAATATTGTAATCGGTTTAATTGCTCCATGAGCAGACTCTACATTTGCCATACTAGTGGACGGCCGCCGAGTGCGCGCCCGTTGAACTCTTGTTTAAGGACCGCACGCCGCTACGCGCCCACTTTACCCTTAAGCTACCCGGTATGAAGCCGATTAGTATGCATTATTATGCCTTTAACTTAAGTGAATTTAAATTAATTTTACACCATGTATTCCGGAAAACACGACGTGGAAAATCTTTAGATGTTTCCGATCTTCTACAGTTTTCTAATTAAGCATTTTTTGAACGTTCCATAAAATATATTTAATGAAGTAAAACTTTTTTTTTTGAAATTTCTTTATTATTAAACACAGTGGAACCTATATACACCTAATTATACTCCCAAAAAAAAATACCGAATTTATTACGTATTTTTCAGTTTGAATAGAGTAACTAATTGTAATTGTAATTCGTGTAACGTCTCTGTAATTTTTGAGTGAAAATAAATTTAAAAAAATAAACACATTTAAAAGAACAAGTAAGTATATTTTAATATACTCACTCAGTGAAAAAGGGGAAAGATCTTCGCGTCGATTCAATACAAAACGTACTCACATTTCGGCGAAACCCAAAAAGGAGAACCGACGCAAAAAAAAAATAATACCCTCAAACGATCGCAATCGGTCCCGAAAATCGGGATGACACCGCGGGGGGAGGCTCAAAAACTTGCGTTGCGGGCGTTATCCTTAAGATATCACTGGGGTCGACGACCGGATATTTGCGTGGACAAAGGACCTGCGGTGGCGCACGCCAGGAGCAGCGTGAGAGGCAGCAGCCCGGCGAGCATGGTGGCGTGCGTCGGCGACCGCGCAGCGCGCTCTACTGCCGACAGCCGCCGCCCGCGCGATGTAGCGCCGCTGCCGAAGAGCGGCTGCCCGCCCTTTTCACAACCACGCCGTCGCCTGTAATTACTGCAATTGCCGATGATGGTGCGCTCGCGTATTTTTATGAAGTTTAAATGTCAAAAACATGAAAAAAAAATTACAAAGCACACATACAAAGACGCACAGGAGTGATGCTGAAAAACTATTTATTTGAGAGCTTTTAATTCTAGATCGTTTTAATAATCTTAAGACACTAGAGAATGATGTTCCAAGATGTTCCAAGAGTTTGGGTCATCTTTCATCGAACCTTTTGTAATAGACCGTCATGATAACACATTCAATATCGATAGAGCAAGAAAATAAGCTTGAAACGTAAAACACATAACACTGATGTTTTTTCCTAATCTTCGCTACCAAATCTTCTGATACTGTACTACTACTAACTGTGGTAAGGTCACTGGGTGGCTCATCCAGGTAAGTACCACGACCTCACAGAAGACCGGCGTGAAGTGAAAGTGTTATACTTCAGCGTTTCGTCTGGTGAGTGAGGTAGCCGGGGCCCACTATATAAAAGGCTGGCAAGGCTTCTGCAACCCTACAAGTGTTGCAAATTTCAATGGGTGGCGGATATCACTTAACATCAGGTGAACCTCCAGCTTGCTTATCACTTTGTCACACTAAAAAATGTCATATTATTCATCAGTTATACGCTAGCTTTATCATCATTGTTTAATCCCGTCGGATGCCAAGAGTTCAATATTTGACGAACAAACGTACTTGTAAAGCGCATCGAAACATATATATTACTTTGGACTTGAAGAGATATTTATTTCTTATATATTTCATTTTTATCGATTGAATTGTTGCTATATTCCAAAGCATAGTTTTGATGCCTTTAACAAATTTTGAACAGTTGACCACATAAGATATTTTTGATTACTCAGTTAAGAATAAGAAAATAAAAATAAAAGTAATTAAGTGTAAAATTCTACACCATACATACGTTAATCGGGGTTTTCTTTTTAACAAAAATTATTTATTCATTAAAAAGCGCAACATAAAAAACAATTGTTCTAGATTAAAAATGTATCTACAAATGTTGCCAAAGTGGCACGTCTTAATAATATGAATGTGTTTGTATTATCGTCAGCCTAGAACCTGCCAAGCCGATTCACTTTGACATATATATCATGAAGACAATAAAAGTAAAACCAGACTTGAACATTTAATTTTGAACAAAAAATTAATGTTGGCGAAAGGGCAGACGCTCTTATAGGCTGTCGGCACCTGCTCGGCAATAAATGCGCTTCAGTTGCCTCGCCACCCTGAGGAAACAGGATACCGCAGAACCCGTCAAGTTTTCATGCGATAGACAGACTTTCAGAAAACACTATTGGCACAATACATAGCTGTAACAACAATACATAAAAAGGGATGCCTTGTGTAAGAAAAAGAAATAAACGTAATCTCTAACACGAAAAGGGGGTTTAAATTACAGCACAATAGCTATTTAATCATTTCTTTACCCTTAATTTAATTTTGCATCCTGAACAACGTACCTAACCCAAATTTAGCGCCATCATTATTGTTATTGTCTTATTTACTCATTTCATTTATAACACAACGACAAGAGGAGTTGAACGGGTAATTTAGAAGAAGTAATTTCTGTTCACAGGTATAATCAGATACCACTTGCGGTTTGCCTCTCCGATATCCTACTTCCACGTTCCTTCCTTGCTCATATTATAGCCATCATTATTCGGTACAAACGCAGAATAATATAAGTATCCACATATTTATGTAACGTTCTACAAAAAGAAAGTTGAAAATATCATAAATCTTTGCTAACAAATCTACTTTTTTTTTTTTTATGTGAAAAGTTGCCAAACGAGCAGACGGTTCACCTGATGTTAAGTGAATACCGCCGCCCATAGACATCTGCTACACCCGAGGGTTTGCAGATGCGTTGACAACCTTTTGGAAATTGGGCTCCGGCTACCTCACTCACCAGACGAAACGCGAAAGTATTTGTCATACTTTCACTTTACGCTGGTCTTCTGTGAGGTCGTGGTACTTACTCGGACGAGCCTGCCCATTCGTGCAACAGCCGAGGCTGCTGCGTGGCCCTACCACCGTTAACTTACACTTACGTGTACTTTTATCAATAAACAATATAAATAGCAAAAGGACATCCAATTAAGTACATTGATTATTTATTTAGCCATTACCGTAGCCGTTTGAATGTAGTTAAATTTACGTTCAGGTTTTAAAGCAAAAGGGAGGAGATGAAGAGCAAGCTAGTTGTTAAATCTATTACTTCACACTTCACACTTAAGCACTTAACCTCCGATAATCGATTGGATATCGCGTGCAAATTAATATCTCGATTGTTAATCCGTGTCAGATTTTGGTGCAAATTTAATTCATAGTACATTTATTCGGCTTATACTAAACAAATATCGATAGTGATGGACTTTTCTATAAGAGTTTGATTTAACAAAACATCAAGTTGCTCAAATATTGTATCTAATTTTAGAAGACACTGAAGCATTTAACATCCCAATATTGTATTCTCCTTACTTTTATTGTTATTTTTTTTAAATAAACAATACTTTTTATTATAGGAACTTATGGAGTTTCTTCGTACAATTTATATATAAAATTCATTCTGGTATGACATATTACTCTAACAAATACATAAATAAAAGATGTAATAGTGAGATTTTTCATGAGACTCCGAAACGCAATATCATTCGTAGAGAATTTGACAATTAATTAATCATGAAAAATATTCAACATATCAACATATCAACATATCCAAGAACCTTTTGATGCAATTCAAAGCCAACATAAACTTTTTAGTACAACCGAATACGAACCAGAGGGCGGATAAAAAGTAATCATGCACATAATTCAATTGAGTTATTACCGGGGCATTTAACAATGCGTTATATTACACCATATGCGAGATGAAAACTGGTCCAGGGTTCCGGCTAATAAGGGGACGGGTCCCTTTTTGCCGCGAACAATGCAGTGGGTTCGAATGTCTCGATATGAGATGATACAATGTAATCAGAGCCCGGCGCGGACGTCGATGGTAGAGGGCGAGGGCGCGGGGGATAATTAAATATGTGTTGGTAATTAACTAGCTTCCAGGGAGCGACGTGAGCGCTCGCGGACGCCTCTAGTGGTGCGAAATGCATTGCCGTCCTACGCCGCACGTCTCGAGTCGAAATAGAAAAAATAATTGCACTTCTACGGCATGTGACCGCTGGACGATGCCGTTCTCGAGAACCGTGCAACGGATTTGCTCCCACTTTAGTGAGTGAAGTAAAAGCGTTGTGTGGTTCATTCCAAACTATTGTTATTAAAGTAGGTACAACAGAATTTGGAAAATATCGAGATTAAACACAGATTAGATCATACAAACAAAGATACGCAGACACCCTAGACAAATGCGCACAGTTTGCACGTAACAAACAAATTTTCTTGTGAATTGGTCTTTAAGAATTCAACATAAATGTCTCCGTCTATTACTTTCCTTTGGAGCTGAAAAGAATGGATCGTTTCGTCTTGTGAGTGAGATAGCTAGAGCACTTATAAAAAGTTGGCAACGCATCTGGAACCCTACGGGTGTTCCAAATCTCCATCGCGGATACTACTTAACATCAAGTGAACCATCGCCTCGCTTGCCGCCTATTCACATAAAGAAAAATAAACAAAACGGACTCCCGCTCGAAATTTAGACTCCCCAGAATCGCGGCGTACTCAGGTCAAAGGCGTTTAAGGACGTTGGTCCAACCCTAGCTCGGTGCCCAACCCTAGCCTGGTCGGGTGCGCAAAAAGCACACGCTCCCAGGCTCCCAGCTCGCCAGACACAGCCTTACATATGCTCTCGACGCACAAACGCGCTGGCTGACTTGATTCTCCCTGACCGTACGCATTCAAAGCACATGACTCTAATTCATAAATCTACTTCCACAGCTTTTAAGATCTATTTTGTACCATGTTCTAACGAATTAACGTATCTTTCTTTTTTTCTTCTATCTTTCTAAGTTGTGTCTGGACAGTTAAAAACAGAGCCCAAATTCCTTTTTATTTCAATTTCGTATGCGTTTCAAAGCTTCCATCATCGTCATAGTTTATACTGGCATTTAAATTGATACGAAATTTTGCAATCATGTCAAATTCTCTTAGCAACAAACAAGTGTCTCTATACTGCTCTCAGTGGTCATCTTTGCCTCATTATTACTACTCCACAATATAACTTGATTGCTAATGCTTTCATAGGCTCTTAAATATCATATAAGCTCAGTAGACATTAAGTTTTCCTGAATTAAAAAAAAATAAACCCTTCATAAATAAAAGAATTCTTGGTTGCTTTATTTCTAAAAATATAACTTTCATCGTGAAATTATATACGGCGAAATTTTATTTACGTGATACTGTATGTTTTAGGGTTCCGTACCCTGTCTGTCACCAGGCTGTAACTCATGAACCGAGATAGTTAGACAGTTGAAATTTTCACAGATGATGTATTTCTGTTGCCGCTATAACAATAAATACTAAAACCACAGATTAAAAAAAATTTAGTGGGGCTCCCATACAACAGATATGTCTTTTTGTTTTTATAGACAATAGTACGGAATTCTTCGTGGGTGAGTCCGACTCGCACTTGGCCGGATTTTAGCGAGTTATAAAAAATATTTGAATCGTTAGTGATACAAAAGCATTGTAACTTCACATCCTTTTACTACCCTAAATATTTTTATAATTTAAGAATACATATTTCATTTATTTTAGTAATAATGAAATATAAATTGAAGATTTTTCATTGAGAGCTTTTTTATCAGTCTGTCGATAAACTGTTGACAGTTTAGCAGAATAGAAATTAGAAAAATGTTTTAAACCTTTAAATAATAAAAAAACATGTAGGTACATCTACCAGTACAAAAAAATGACAAAGGTTTACTATAAAACATAGATTTTTGCCTACACCTACTTGAAGTGCGAATATGAAAAATGTGCAATATCATAAGCGACAGAAGTACAAGTACAAACAATGAGCGTTTTAGTGAAAGTTGTCGTTAAAAGATACATTATCTGGGCATGCGGGTCGGGAGCAACTGCAGTGGGTCGACGATAGCCGCGGGAAAACGCTATGCAACTAAGTACACAGTGTACCAAGTCCACCCAAGCGTTGCCAATGCGTTGCCAATGCGTTGCCAATGCGTTGCCAATCGTGCTTTAAACTAGACAGCTGTCTCGTACATATGTTTCCATGATTCAACGATCTGCGACATGAAGGCGAACCAAGCCCTGATTTA